CTTGTACGGGATTTGGTTGGAAAAAAGTGGGCGGAATTTATCCCTGTTCCTATGGCTATGGCAATACCTTTTTACATTGGAAGTTATTTTGCCATTGATATGTGTGTTGGCAGTTTGATCTTGCTTATTTGGCGGAAGCTTGACAAGTTTAGTGCTGATACGTTTGGATCAGCTGTGGCTTCTGGTTTGATTTGTGGGGATGGAATTTGGACTCTTCCTAGCTCCTTTTTAGCTTTGGCAGGAGTCAAGCCACCTATCTGCATGAAGTTTTTGTCCAGAGCACAGAATGCAAAGGTCGATGGATTTTTAGAATCTTGATATCATCACTTCATTCATTTTCTACGTTCTTTTAAAGCTACATTAGTTGTAGTACATTTTCTGAATGCGTGCTATTTTGCCTTAATCATGAAAACCAACTTCATGCCTTTAATTTCTAAACTCACTTTATTTTCGTTCTTTCTTCACAGCAAACATCACCTTAAAAATCGATTTTATGAGTTAAATTAGACTTAAGTCCACCTTTAAACATTATATCATATCATGACAAAATTATCGAGCTGATATCAAACCACTTAGGTTAAAAATCTCACATCAACCTAGAAGTAAGATTAATTTAAATTATATAAATATTACAAATCTCATCCTAGAATTCAGTTTTACGAAGTTGAATTAGATAATAACACTTCTTAACATCAATTACCCTTTAATCAAGATCAACAAACAGTGCAAGTATAGGATAATACATGGACAATATCTACAAATTTCTCCTTGAGCTTCTTTCTGTTATGAGAATCAGATAAAAGAACTTATACCATAAGCTGAAGTTATAACAGAGCAATCAAAATAGTTAAAGAGTGGGTTTTGGTGAATTTCTTTAGGCTAAGACACTTAGTATAGGGTATACAAATATATGTTTAAGTTTAAATCAATAATTAAGAGACACGCTTTTAGTTGAAATAAATTATATATCCAGTTTAAGTTAGGATTTAGTTGAATATTTATTATTTATATTATTTAGTAAAATAAATAATTTTAAAAAATATATTAAATTAATTTAAAGTAATAGAATATAAGTTAGGAGGTTGCATTTAAATTATTTTGGACTTAATGTATTTATTTAAGATATTAATAGTAAATAACATAATATTATTATTATTATTATTATTATTATTATTATTATTATTATTATTATTATTATTATTATATACTATATACTAACATATGACGAAAGAACTAAACAAATATCAAATTTTTAATAAATAATTTTTCTTTTATATTTTAAGTACTTAATAATATTTTTATATTATTTATCTAATAAATTAAATACTTTATTCAAGTTATTTGAGTCAAACATGTCGGTAAGTTAAAACATAATATAATGTTAAAAATTATAGATATTAAATGTAAAAAACACACACATATATATATATATATAAACATTTTTCTAGAAATTTAGAACAAAATTTTATCATTTATTAAGTGATTTGAAGAAAAAAATATATATTGAACAGTGAAAATAAGATTGAATCAAGCTTATTTAAGGGAAAGTGTAAATAAAATTTTGCAATATATCACAAGTTTAAATCTGAATCATGTGAATGCTCCATTAATGCAGATAGAAAAAGAGAAATATTATTGAATATAGTGGAAAGGTGTAGGGTAATTTTGAAATAAAAAAAATAGTAGAAAAATGTAAAGTATTTTTGAAATAAAAGAAAATAGTGAGAAATACAGAAACTCCAAGTGGATGGAGGAACATGTAAAAATATTATTACTTTATTCAAAGACATGGATCTGAGACAAAAATAACTTATCAAGTGTAAAAAAATGAATAAATGTAAAAAATTCAGTTAAAAGTATTAAATTGAACGTTAGAAACTATTGATAAAAGTTTTTTTTTTAAATATCACAATTAAAAAGAAGGGAATGCTTAATTTTGAGAAGGGTGAAAGCATTGTTTTAATAACACATTAAAATGTTGTATTTGATGATATCAAAATAAAGTAAGACAAAAAGGGAATCATAGAGACCAATTAAACAATAATTTGGAACATTCCCTGCAAATGAAAGGGTTGGTGAAGGGACACAGTTATTTATTTTTTTATATTCATATGAGATAGAATTGTTGTAGTTAAAGTTTGGTCCTTTTTGTTATGGTGGCACTGATAAACTATTCAATTCCACCACCAAACAAATCATGAACAAATAAAGTTAGTGACTTTGGAAACCTAACCGAAGCAGACATAACTTTTCAACTTTCAAAAAACCAATGCCATCAATTATATTTTCCCTCTTTTTCTGCCTTCTGTTCTCAAATTACCACTGCATGCTCCCACCTTTTTAAGTATGCCATTTATTATAATAAATATATTTAAACTAGTTAATAATCATTAGGTGAAAGATAAAAAAACCTAAATGGTAAAAGAATAATTAATATTATTTTTAATTTGAAAATGATGCTTAAATTAATATATATATATATATATATATACATTTTTTAAATATGATATTTAATATAAAATAAAGTTTAATTATTTATTTAATTTTATAATTGTACATCTTAAGTAGATTACCAATATACCGAACCAATACAGATTACAAATTATTTTTTAAAGTATAGAAATTAAATATAAAGTTTTACTTAGATTAATAATACTTATTCTGTATATACTGTGAGATATTGAGTTTAAATTTTGTAACAAAAATTATGGAAATAAGATATATACAAACAAAATATTTTTTAAAGTATTGAGTTCTGCAAATTAATATATTTATAAAATTATTATTTTTTGCATGAACTTAATACTATTAATAATAGATTGGAGTTTATCCAAATAAAATATAAGATTAATAAGTAATTCCATCACCTCAGTCATTATATCAGTGGTACAGAGTCAGAAGGGAGTGGCAGAGTCTGAATGTGAGAAAGAGAACACGAAAGGGAGCTTAGGAATGGGATGAAGCTATCAAGGAAAACCCTGAAATGATGGTTTGGAATGAGGGCAAAGGAAGCATGATGGAAGAACTGGCAAAGGAAGAGTTGGAGCTGCTTGAAGCTCAATATCCCAACCAGCATGAGTATCTAAAAAATGAACTCAAGTCCTTCATCTTTCAACTCCAGACCAAGAACATGGATTCTGAACTTCTTCTAGAAAACAACCTCTGCAACAATCACCTTGTTTTCCTTGATACTGAAGGTTTTCCTTTGCTCTTTCTTTTCTTCTTTTATATGTTTTGTCACGCCACTATATATATACATGGTTTTTGAGATATTTGTTTTTCATGTGATACAGAATCCACAAGCCTGGAGGGGCAAAGGAAGAGCAGTGACTGTAGTTTTGAACCTGCTTCGGCAGACAGAGTAGTGATCGAGGGGGAGATGAGCGGAAGTTCTGAGCTTGAAACTCCCAAGAGTGATTTGATAAAGCATTTCCCAAGCAAGAAGAAGAAGAAGAGGAAAGACAGGGTGGATTTGGTTCTTGAGAGAGCACAAGTTTGTCTAAAGAAAATCAAACACTTGAAGACATCCCTACTTTCTCCCTTCTGAAGTTTGGACGTGAATGTTTCGTTTGACTCATGTGAACCCGGTGTTAGAAGAACGTGACTGGGGATTTTTTGATGCTGTCCACATGGTGCTGTTTTGTTTTGATTATGTTGACCCTGTAATTGGATGATAGCGCATAGCCGTTGTGGGTTTTGTCTGGCACAGAGAATGGCTCCAAAGATTCTTTTGTGGCTCTATTATGCTTTTTGCCAAAATATCGAAGTTGTAAATTTTCTGTGGTGTAAAGGAGCAACCGTGGACAGAGGTACAGTCAGTCAATATCCATGTTGCAATATACTTTATCAAAAAGAAAGTCTCTATTTTTACCTCTTTTTGGCTAGACAAATCTTGAACTTAAGAACGAGAAGGGCCAGATTGTGACTATTAAATATTCAAATACAAATACTGCCACTGTCACTTTATTAAATATTTCAAGGACTATATGATTTGAAACCGTGTAACAATCTTTCCTGCACCTTCATAGTTGGATTTCGGTAGCGTTATTTAAAGGTCAAACCATGTTGCATTATCTTTACATTAACAGTTTTTTAATTGCTGTAGGAAATCCTGTAACGTGATGAAATATGGTCAAACCATCGGTAACGTGATGAAATAAAGAAGAAACCATTAGGAAATCAAGAGTTGAGTTATGGTGAAAAGGATACCAGTAGTTGTGATTCGTGAGAAGTATGTAATGATATAGCAAGCAATCACAAGATATAATTGCTCCAAATAGGGGGATATCAGATGCAGAACTTCGTAATGAAGAAATCTCAGTGATGACATGCTTAACCCATCATCGCTGATTACATTTATAGCACTTGATGCAGTAGAGCATTGATTATTTTTTACATGTTAATGTTTTCTCACGAGGAGTTGAGGCAGGGAACAATTATTTTTACAATAAATATGGGAAGGTTTTAAAAAACGAAAGGTGAAAGCTTTGGGGGGATGGTTTAAAAAATTCATGTTGTGTAAAAGTTTATTATATATAATCATTAATGAGATTGTTTGAATACGTCTCTTGCCTATAAAAGAAATTAGAAAATAGAAAATAGAATGTACTTCTCTAATTTTTTGCATAAGTTAACTTTTAAAAGCTTTCATAATTTTTAAGAAAATATATTTATTTTATGTTATGAATAAATTTATTTCATTTTTTTCTTTTTACTTTTCTACCTATGTCATAAAGAAAATCTTGTCCATATATGTAAAATGGATCCTCCAGGTCAATCGTGTCTGGAAGCACATATTCTGCTTCAGAAACACGTGAATGTAAATTTGATCCCTATTTGAGCTTCGGCTTGGAAATCATAAAAGCAAATTAGTTTCCATTAATTGTTTTTTTTATAAAGAAAAACGAAGATCAGTATGAAAATGATTTGGGTACAGTGCCAGATGATGAGTATGTAGTGCCTCTATAGCTTACTAAGAAGAATATTACGAAGGCCATATATATAATCAAGTAAGCAGAAATTATATAGATTGATAACGTTAGTACCGTATTTGCTTCAACAATAGACACTTTGAGGATATTTTCCTATTTAGGATGTCTTTAAACTGTGCTAATTTAAATTGGTTACTGCAGCATGTAATTTCAAGATGCGCCAGGCATCCCGGTGAGCCTTTTTCAGCAATATTTATTCAGCTTCCATCGACTTAAACTGGACTGTTCTTTCATTAAAAAATGGGACTTAGAAAACAAGTTCTGACTTCTGACTTAAACTCACTTGAAGGAAGATCGATTATTCTATAATCTCCGATTCCAAAAGCTACTTTGATTTAAAAGAAGTTACTAACACCAAACATGCAAAAACTTCACAAACTCAACTTTGAAGAATTATATCAGCAGAACATAAATGAACGAACTGTATTGGGCCAGAATGGTAGCGGTATTGCGTGTTCTTCCTTAGATGCTTGTTTCTCCAAAAGTTTCCAAGGCGCTGTAAAGAAGCATAATAGATATATAATAAAAACTGAACAGACGTCTAAATATTTTATCACAAGTTTATAACGCACCTTGATCTCAATGAGAATATGAACCTTCAGCCACAGAGATGAGCACAAATAGAAATGAGCCAATATCAAAAGTCAATCATTCCAACCAGCTACCACTATCCTCGGGGCCTAAACTATGTAGGCACCATTGAAACCAAATAATTTAATGAATTCACCATTGGCCCTGTTCATCCTCAAAGTGGGAACAGAAATTAATGTTTTGTAATCTCGTAAGCTAGTTCCCTGTTTACAAAATGCTAATCTTGCATGGACAGCTAGACACATGCCAAATCATCAGTTTCAGTGAATCAGACCAAACAGCAAACCAAAATCTCGCAAGACAGATGCTTATTACAGGAAAAAAATATATATCGAAAATAACCTAAGGTTTGTTTGGGTAAATTTTTCAATAAACTCTTCCAGGAGAAGAAAATAAGGAAAGGTGGAATAGTTTTTTCATAAACTAAAATAAAGATATTATGCGTGAATTAACTTTTAGAGAAGCTTACGAGAAGACTTTTGCAAATAAGCTTATGTATATAAACAATTTTAGTTTATTGAGAAACTTATTGCATTTCTTTTCAACTTATTTTTCTCTCCTAAGAGTTTCTGAAAAGGTTTTCCCAAATACACCCTTATCATAGTAAGTAAGCGAATGAAATGGAATATAGTCAAACAGGGATAGAAGACCGGATAACACATTAAAAGAAATCCGATACTCTTTCATCTAAAAGCCATTTTATTGAAGTTTTGGTTTTCGATAAAGTCCACTGGCAAAAGATATTCCACAAAGCCAAAACCTATTAAATGGAATATCCCTTTGTTTAATGTCACTCTAATAAGAAATCACTACAATTTGAGTGCCATAAAAGGGATTCTATTCCCCCTAAAAATATTTTTTCTTCTCATTATTTAGGGAGCTTGAAGACCAGGTTATAAATTTATACAGATAAAATAAACAAAAGCAGTTAAAAAAACTTAGTTTTGCATTAGAGAGGGGGCGGGATGTCCCAGCACTAGCATGATAGTTATGCCAAATATAGGCAAGACTTGCGATTATTCGGAGCTTATTTACTAAGATTTCATTGGTTGAACCATTCAAGAAAAGTGATCTGTCAGGAATGCATAAAAGACAAAGATTTTGTATTATCTATGGTTTCAGTAGCAAAGCTTCTGTGCTAAGCAGGGAACCATTGTTTAGCATCTTTAAATGTAATAAAGACTAAACGATAGCTACAACTGCACAGAACATTTTCAGAACAAGCTGATACCAAGTAACAGCATGGAGTTAACTTATACAAAAGTCTAACCCATCCAGCCATCTAGTACAGAAGAGAATAGAGCTTCTAATTAATTATGACGTTTTCCTATATACCATTCAGCTTCGACCAAGTTAAATATCAAATTTTCTATCCTTGTAAATGTGGGTGTATTCCAAAAGCAACACACAAGAAAACTAAGGAACCCTAGACATGAAAAAACAAATAAACGAGGCACCTTAATCAAGATGGTGACAAATAATGTCTTTGCTGGTTTTCCTCTTGTCTAGCCTCACCGCAGCTGCTTGAATCCTCCAACTTCGAATTAACAGCTGGCAGACCCCGACGTCCTAAAGCAACAAGATCAAGTAGCCGTCTTCTTGCATCATAGACAGGATTTGGTTCTATCAAACACCCTCGTTCATAAGCTTCCCTCAGGAAAACAGTATGTTTTTTACCCTTAGTTGACAAATAGAAGATCCCTGGGTGGTCCAAGAAGAGATCCCTTATATTTAAATCAATCCCAAACCATTTCCTAAACTGGCTGATCTTCTCAACTTCCACCATCTTCTCTACTGTCAAACTCAGGAACTCGTGAACAATCGATACTGCTCGCTTCTCCATGGCCATCATTCCAGCCTTAGACTTCTTCTTCTCACCCGGCATTTCATAAGGCCCCACATATGGCAACCTCTGCCACTCCTTCACCTTGGCCTTGAAATTCTTGCTCAACCTCATCCCCGGAGGATACCCGTGTTTGAAACTAAACTGCATTTCCATCCTATCAACACTGCAGTCTTCCTTGCAGCACTCAACAACCCTCCAATCCTCAACAGCCGCCCTAATGCCATTGCTGGAAACACCATCAACCAGCTTCAACAAATGAGTATTCTGTTCATGCCCATCACACAGCTGAAAAACACCAGAATTAGCAGATATAACAGAGTCCTCGAAATCATCAGGCAGCCCAAGCTCCTTCCAAACCTTAAAAACAGCTCTAAGAGGCACCATTCTGGATGCTGACATGGAGAGTATCCGGACAAGTCTTTCAACAACAACAGGCAAAGAAGCATTGATGGCCNGCATTTCCCAAGCAAGAAGAAGAAGAAGAGGAAAGACAGGGTGGATTTGGTTCTTGAGAGAGCACAAGTTTGTCTAAAGAAAATCAAACACTTGAAGACATCCCTACTTTCTCCCTTCTGAAGTTTGGACGTGAATGTTTCGTTTGACTCATGTGAACCCGGTGTTAGAAGAACGTGACTGGGGATTTTTTGATGCTGTCCACATGGTGCTGTTTTGTTTTGATTATGTTGACCCTGTAATTGGATGATAGCGCATAGCCGTTGTGGGTTTTGTCTGGCACAGAGAATGGCTCCAAAGATTCTTTTGTGGCTCTATTATGCTTTTTGCCAAAATATCGAAGTTGTAAATTTTCTGTGGTGTAAAGGAGCAACCGTGGACAGAGGTACAGTCAGTCAATATCCATGTTGCAATATACTTTATCAAAAAGAAAGTCTCTATTTTTACCTCTTTTTGGCTAGACAAATCTTGAACTTAAGAACGAGAAGGGCCAGATTGTGACTATTAAATATTCAAATACAAATACTGCCACTGTCACTTTATTAAATATTTCAAGGACTATATGATTTGAAACCGTGTAACAATCTTTCCTGCACCTTCATAGTTGGATTTCGGTAGCGTTATTTAAAGGTCAAACCATGTTGCATTATCTTTACATTAACAGTTTTTTAATTGCTGTAGGAAATCCTGTAACGTGATGAAATATGGTCAAACCATCGGTAACGTGATGAAATAAAGAAGAAACCATTAGGAAATCAAGAGTTGAGTTATGGTGAAAAGGATACCAGTAGTTGTGATTCGTGAGAAGTATGTAATGATATAGCAAGCAATCACAAGATATAATTGCTCCAAATAGGGGGATATCAGATGCAGAACTTCGTAATGAAGAAATCTCAGTGATGACATGCTTAACCCATCATCGCTGATTACATTTATAGCACTTGATGCAGTAGAGCATTGATTATTTTTTACATGTTAATGTTTTCTCACGAGGAGTTGAGGCAGGGAACAATTATTTTTACAATAAATATGGGAAGGTTTTAAAAAACGAAAGGTGAAAGCTTTGGGGGGATGGTTTAAAAAATTCATGTTGTGTAAAAGTTTATTATATATAATCATTAATGAGATTGTTTGAATACGTCTCTTGCCTATAAAAGAAATTAGAAAATAGAAAATAGAATGTACTTCTCTAATTTTTTGCATAAGTTAACTTTTAAAAGCTTTCATAATTTTTAAGAAAATATATTTATTTTATGTTATGAATAAATTTATTTCATTTTTTTCTTTTTACTTTTCTACCTATGTCATAAAGAAAATCTTGTCCATATATGTAAAATGGATCCTCCAGGTCAATCGTGTCTGGAAGCACATATTCTGCTTCAGAAACACGTGAATGTAAATTTGATCCCTATTTGAGCTTCGGCTTGGAAATCATAAAAGCAAATTAGTTTCCATTAATTGTTTTTTTTATAAAGAAAAACGAAGATCAGTATGAAAATGATTTGGGTACAGTGCCAGATGATGAGTATGTAGTGCCTCTATAGCTTACTAAGAAGAATATTACGAAGGCCATATATATAATCAAGTAAGCAGAAATTATATAGATTGATAACGTTAGTACCGTATTTGCTTCAACAATAGACACTTTGAGGATATTTTCCTATTTAGGATGTCTTTAAACTGTGCTAATTTAAATTGGTTACTGCAGCATGTAATTTCAAGATGCGCCAGGCATCCCGGTGAGCCTTTTTCAGCAATATTTATTCAGCTTCCATCGACTTAAACTGGACTGTTCTTTCATTAAAAAATGGGACTTAGAAAACAAGTTCTGACTTCTGACTTAAACTCACTTGAAGGAAGATCGATTATTCTATAATCTCCGATTCCAAAAGCTACTTTGATTTAAAAGAAGTTACTAACACCAAACATGCAAAAACTTCACAAACTCAACTTTGAAGAATTATATCAGCAGAACATAAATGAACGAACTGTATTGGGCCAGAATGGTAGCGGTATTGCGTGTTCTTCCTTAGATGCTTGTTTCTCCAAAAGTTTCCAAGGCGCTGTAAAGAAGCATAATAGATATATAATAAAAACTGAACAGACGTCTAAATATTTTATCACAAGTTTATAACGCACCTTGATCTCAATGAGAATATGAACCTTCAGCCACAGAGATGAGCACAAATAGAAATGAGCCAATATCAAAAGTCAATCATTCCAACCAGCTACCACTATCCTCGGGGCCTAAACTATGTAGGCACCATTGAAACCAAATAATTTAATGAATTCACCATTGGCCCTGTTCATCCTCAAAGTGGGAACAGAAATTAATGTTTTGTAATCTCGTAAGCTAGTTCCCTGTTTACAAAATGCTAATCTTGCATGGACAGCTAGACACATGCCAAATCATCAGTTTCAGTGAATCAGACCAAACAGCAAACCAAAATCTCGCAAGACAGATGCTTATTACAGGAAAAAAATATATATCGAAAATAACCTAAGGTTTGTTTGGGTAAATTTTTCAATAAACTCTTCCAGGAGAAGAAAATAAGGAAAGGTGGAATAGTTTTTTCATAAACTAAAATAAAGATATTATGCGTGAATTAACTTTTAGAGAAGCTTACGAGAAGACTTTTGCAAATAAGCTTATGTATATAAACAATTTTAGTTTATTGAGAAACTTATTGCATTTCTTTTCAACTTATTTTTCTCTCCTAAGAGTTTCTGAAAAGGTTTTCCCAAATACACCCTTATCATAGTAAGTAAGCGAATGAAATGGAATATAGTCAAACAGGGATAGAAGACCGGATAACACATTAAAAGAAATCCGATACTCTTTCATCTAAAAGCCATTTTATTGAAGTTTTGGTTTTCGATAAAGTCCACTGGCAAAAGATATTCCACAAAGCCAAAACCTATTAAATGGAATATCCCTTTGTTTAATGTCACTCTAATAAGAAATCACTACAATTTGAGTGCCATAAAAGGGATTCTATTCCCCCTAAAAATATTTTTTCTTCTCATTATTTAGGGAGCTTGAAGACCAGGTTATAAATTTATACAGATAAAATAAACAAAAGCAGTTAAAAAAACTTAGTTTTGCATTAGAGAGGGGGCGGGATGTCCCAGCACTAGCATGATAGTTATGCCAAATATAGGCAAGACTTGCGATTATTCGGAGCTTATTTACTAAGATTTCATTGGTTGAACCATTCAAGAAAAGTGATCTGTCAGGAATGCATAAAAGACAAAGATTTTGTATTATCTATGGTTTCAGTAGCAAAGCTTCTGTGCTAAGCAGGGAACCATTGTTTAGCATCTTTAAATGTAATAAAGACTAAACGATAGCTACAACTGCACAGAACATTTTCAGAACAAGCTGATACCAAGTAACAGCATGGAGTTAACTTATACAAAAGTCTAACCCATCCAGCCATCTAGTACAGAAGAGAATAGAGCTTCTAATTAATTATGACGTTTTCCTATATACCATTCAGCTTCGACCAAGTTAAATATCAAATTTTCTATCCTTGTAAATGTGGGTGTATTCCAAAAGCAACACACAAGAAAACTAAGGAACCCTAGACATGAAAAAACAAATAAACGAGGCACCTTAATCAAGATGGTGACAAATAATGTCTTTGCTGGTTTTCCTCTTGTCTAGCCTCACCGCAGCTGCTTGAATCCTCCAACTTCGAATTAACAGCTGGCAGACCCCGACGTCCTAAAGCAACAAGATCAAGTAGCCGTCTTCTTGCATCATAGACAGGATTTGGTTCTATCAAACACCCTCGTTCATAAGCTTCCCTCAGGAAAACAGTATGTTTTTTACCCTTAGTTGACAAATAGAAGATCCCTGGGTGGTCCAAGAAGAGATCCCTTATATTTAAATCAATCCCAAACCATTTCCTAAACTGGCTGATCTTCTCAACTTCCACCATCTTCTCTACTGTCAAACTCAGGAACTCGTGAACAATCGATACTGCTCGCTTCTCCATGGCCATCATTCCAGCCTTAGACTTCTTCTTCTCACCCGGCATTTCATAAGGCCCCACATATGGCAACCTCTGCCACTCCTTCACCTTGGCCTTGAAATTCTTGCTCAACCTCATCCCCGGAGGATACCCGTGTTTGAAACTAAACTGCATTTCCATCCTATCAACACTGCAGTCTTCCTTGCAGCACTCAACAACCCTCCAATCCTCAACAGCCGCCCTAATGCCATTGCTGGAAACACCATCAACCAGCTTCAACAAATGAGTATTCTGTTCATGCCCATCACACAGCTGAAAAACACCAGAATTAGCAGATATAACAGAGTCCTCGAAATCATCAGGCAGCCCAAGCTCCTTCCAAACCTTAAAAACAGCTCTAAGAGGCACCATTCTGGATGCTGACATGGAGAGTATCCGGACAAGTCTTTCAACAACAACAGGCAAAGAAGCATTGATGGCCACCGCTTCCTGCCGTGTAACACCAAGAGCAGCGTCAGTTAACCTGCAAAAGGGCTTCAACTTGGAATGATCATAGTAAATGTGGAAGATGTGAGGAAACTTGCAGAGGAAGGCAGTGGCCCCGCGGTTTAAGTGGAGCTTCTGGGAGAGCTTGGAGAGGAAATCAATGGAGACTGATGGGTTCTTTGGGTTTGCAAGGATGAGGTCTTGAATGAAAATGACCTTAACAAGGTTCTTGTAGTTGTCCATGAGTTTCTCAAACGTGGGGTCTCGAAATCTCGATGCTACATACTGAGCAGACGTTGTTTTTGATCGAACAAACATGGAAAAACTAGTTGGGTGTTCCAGTCTGCCCATAAACTTCACACCCATTAGTGTCAACAACCCTCTTTTTATGCAAACTCGGTTTGACATTTCGTCGAACACCTGAGACTCAACTATTAATCAAAAAGACCGCAGATTCCAGAACATAGAAAATTATGTTCCCGCTTTTAATCAGAGGCCTGATTTTCCATCCAGTATATGGAATCCGTGACAGAGTTGGATGCA